AATATGATATTCTAAATCAGCATCCAGAAATGAATAGACTCATAGATATCTCAAATATTTTACCAAAACTTTCTTTTCATCGAACAATTTGCCTCTAGTATCCTCTCTTAGAGTTAGATCAAAAAATGAGTTTCATCAAAAAGTTATTTCGACAATGAAAACCAAGTTCTAAGGTTATAAAACCATAATAGAACTCCAAACAATAAAGGAAGAAAGAATAAAAGTAGAGTTCTCATGTAATTCATTTTTGGTCCCATTCTGAGACGGATTAGAGATGAATTGTTTGACAAAAAGCATTTTGTCAAAATATTTGAACTATACGTAAGTGCACTCAATTTGGAATATTGATTCAAAATATCATATTAATTTTCTGATTAGAACCTATTGAATATTAGTAAAAATGGCTGAAAATCTTGTTTCGAGAATAGTGTCATTAGGATTTCTTTGTATTGCTAGTGTTTTTTTCTCGATGTTTTCATACCATTTCGAATCGATCAAAAAGTACTATCGAACTATACGAAAATAGTCTAGAATTGTCATCAAGAGTCGAGGTCAATCTATCTACATCTGACGGCCATTGACTATTTCAATCGATTTGTGGACAGTACAAATAAGTGCTATATGATTAATTATATTGTGAGACAATATCAAAAGTTATCGATCTCCTGTCTTTTACCTTGATCATATTGTACATAGTGTGCTGCTTCAGTTGATTTATCTGCATAACGTCGCATAACATTATCATCCATTAATGATGAGCCACGAAAAAGTGAAAAACAACCAGGACAACAAAGAACACTGCCTAATTTATGTTCAGCAGCTTTTTGAAGCCAATGACCAACTGCATATTCAAATTGTTGATACCAAACAATAGGTCCTAAAATGAAAACAAAATCGAAACAATTTATTTTTTTTTAAATTGAAAATACAATCATTCGTTTTTTCTGTTTTTACCATCGCCTGTCGGGTGAATTCGACCACAAGCTGCTGCTACTTTTGGATTTTTACGCATACGATCAACTAATAAAAGAACAGCTTCAGGTTTAAAATCAACATCTCCATCAAGTGCTAAAATGAATGTATTTTGAGCCTAAAACATGTTTCAAGTTATATATTCGTTTTCTTTTAAACATTTCAGCATACAGCAATTTTTTTATCATCTGACAAACTTCTTAAAAATTCGCTAAATCCAATAAATTCTGTATCTGATCTTGCTGTATGTTGTGATACATTATGTCCACTTTGTTTACGACGTAATAATTTAAATGAAAGTAAATAATACATATACATAACCTAAAATTAAATTTCAAAATGAATATTTTTTATTATATTTAATCAACTAACTTGACTCCATCGTTTTTTATGTCGAATTGAATTTTTATCTTTCATATGAACAATTAAACGATTTTTTCCTGGTAATAACCAAACAAGACGTCCACCATAAGGCGTTGGAATTTTAATTGGATCTTCAACAATTTTTTCTACACCATGAACATATCTAAATATATTTTATTTGAATAAAATTAAAAAAAAAAATTCTTTTTCCTAATATTGAAAAAAAATAGAAAAACAAATCAACATACGCTCCAGCAACATTAACAGCAGGTACTAATTGTCTAACATAACGGTTTGGTACACGATTACCATTTTCATCATCTTCAAATGCATCATCAAATAAAATATGTGTTTCAAATCGATAATAATCTGGATCAAGAATACGTAAATTTTTTTGCACTGTTCGACGAGCATGTTGATCAGAATCAAGTCTATAATATGTAAGAAAAAATGGAGAATAATAAGCAAGCTAATTTTCTTTGATGAAACGTGATCTAAAAGGAACGATAAGATATAGAGATAAATATTTTGCCTCTCCTCACAAATCTTGATGAATGTAACCATGAAAACGTCAAAGATCGTGCTAGATGCTAGTTAAAAAACAGTTCGAACCGTAATAAAAAAAAATAGCAATACTCCTCTTTCGCTTCATGTTCCAGACCGTGACTGACGTTTTTGATATACGATCAAAGATAGTAAATCGATAACATCTTGTAATAATGTACAAACTACTCATGTATTCCGTATTTGGAGCATTAAGAAAAAACATGGTGAAAAAATATGTCGCAAAATAGACAGAGTAAAGGAATCTGTCTGTAATTAGAAAATATAGCTACATTGTGTTTCATATTTAAATCGCTTAGGGATGCATTAACAATCTTTTCTTGTTTTGATTTACCGAAAGATTGATTTAAGTAATTGAACCATTTCACTTGTTGTTTCATGCCACATTGTTGCACATACATAAATCATTGGTACAGGAAATTTTCTTGCAAGTGTTAAATCAGGTTCGATTTGATCTTCAAATAGAAAGAAGAATTTAAAATACAACAAAGAAAAAATAAAAGATTTTTATTTTTACCTTTCAATTCTATTTCATCTTTTTGTTGTTTATTAAGTAATAAATTTTGTTCAACAATAGCCGATTCATAATAAGGAAGAACAAATAATCTGATAAGAAAAAAGACGTTCATTCTTAAACTAAACCAAGACAAAGACTTCAATACTAACTTATAAATCATCGCTAATCGTTCGGTTGTTGGAAACCAAACATGACTTGTTATTTTCATTCTTGATAACCATAAAAGTAAAAATCCAATTAAAGAAATAATTAAAAGTTTGGAACCAAGTGCTATAAAATAATCAATATTGGACTTAGGAATATTAAGAATTTGATTTACCTTGTGGTTTATCAAGATAAAACAGATGGCCAATAGCAATAATATCTTTTCTATTTTTAAAACCTTGAACAAAAAATAATATTATATAAGCTATTAATGTCGATAATGTTAATGGTAACGAAAAACCAAAGCTTTGCATTAATACCTAAATAAAATAGATCTTTCATTTCTATAAAACAAAACAAAAGTAATATCGATTTCTTCTTACTTTACATGCAATACGTCCAGTATAATAACAAATACATGATGAAAGTATTTGTATCATCAATGGTATATAAACTTCATATGCAATACGAAAAAGATCTTCATGTTCATCAAAACGACCTCCACCAAGTACTCGACTTGAATTTCTATCACTATAACCAATTGGTGTTTGTTCAAAAATAGATAAATACAATTTTCTATCAATTGATTTTGGTAAAAAATAAATAGCTGTTGTTATTAATACAAATATTTTTAAAAGACTTGCTGTGATATAAATTTTTGGACGAGTTTTTCTTAATGCTCTTATACCATTTTGAAACCATTTAAAAAGACATTGTTTTGATATTCGTGTTTCAATAAAACTTTCCCAATAACCAAGTGATATAAGAAAAAGTGCTAATGGTAATTGCCATTGAAATTCATTAGAGAGTTCTTCCTTAGCTGAAAGGATATATGGAATAAAACAAACAGTTAATTGCATAATAAAAGATGCTATATCAGTTAAAAATGTTAACACTTTCAATGTTCGATTAAGACCACGATGAGAAGAAAAAATATTTAATATTGCAGGTATTATACATACACCATTTAATATAAATAAACTAGTTACATTATCTATTGAAGGTAAAATATGAAAGACAAGTAATGATAAACCAGCTGTATGACATGCTTCAACAATATGAACCTAAAATGAAATAAAGTAAAAAAAAAAAATAAAGCTTCTCTTTTATTTACAACATACCCATAGAGCAAGAAAAAATGGTGGAGAATGTTTTATACAAAAAACCGATAATTGAACACTGTGCATAAATGTTAATAGATACGGTACACTCATAGCAATAATTAGAAGTATTTGCCATCGAATAATATATGTTTTAGGCTAGAAAAGAAGAAACGAAAAGTTTGTTTATTTAGTTGAATAGATTAAAAAATAATAATAATAATAAACCTGTTCACGAGTTTTGTATGCATTAATCATTGTGAATAAACTAAGTTTACTAACTACTGCCGATGTTAGAACAACACAAAAGATTATAATATAAACACATATTTTAACAATACGACGAAATGTAAGTCGTCGTTCTTTATTTGTACTTTGTTCTTGTTCATAATGACGACTTGTTACATGAGCAACATCCCACCAATAAGCATTATGATTATTTCCAGTAATACTATTCTTTCTAAAAATAAAAGCAAAGAATGAATCGTTTTGTTTTTGAATGCATTTAAAATTTACTTAGATTTGATTGATTCATTTAATATATGTGCTAAATTTTGTGAAGAAAGTGGTTTTGTTGTTGACCTAGGAGGAGGTGGGGGTGGGGGTAAGGGTGGCTGAGATCGACGCACCATTCTATTGCTATATGTGTCGACCATTTGTGATGGCAAATATGTATATGTGTTTTCTTTATACATTTATCTATATGTCTACTATATGGTGTTGCGTTTGACACAAGTTAAACGGACGAATACAAGAGAGAAATGAGATGAAGTTAAACTAGATAATATCATTTTACAATTCTATATACACATAGTCACCATCGCTCGTTCTGTTTCATAGAAAAGAAATTAGTCACAATGAAAAACTAGATAAATAACTGATATATATATCATTGTTTTGTTGTTTTCAAATTAAATTTAATATGTGATTATGCTTAGCATATCAATTGTATTATTATTTAAAGTCACAAAAATGAATAAGATAATAAAATGATTATTTGAATTGCTACTAGATGGAAAATCTATTGGATAGAAAAAAAAAAACGATGCATAAGATATCTTATCATAACAAATCAAAAGATACATACCTAGAAAAGCTAACAAAAAAAAAGTGAAAACCAATTTTCTGTAATATAGATCAAGTTATTTTTCTAGAAAATTATTTCAGTGATGGATGGCGAAACATGTAGACCGGTTAAGTTCGAACTTCATCAAAATTTACCAATATTAGGCTCAAATTTACATGAAACATGACATTGTACAGCTTAGTTACACTGGAATCTGGTGGCGTTTGACTAGATGAATCTTATTATAGGGCAGAGATTGAAATATTTTACATGTTTATCTATGTATTTTAATGAAGAAAACTGCGAAATTGAGACGGCAGTAAAGTCTGCCATCTATGTTGTCATGATTCTTAGTGGCATCTTTTATTTTATTTATTCTGAGTGGCATGTAAACTAGACCAATCGTAAAATCATGTTTTCAAAAGGTGCAAAACTATCTTGAATTCGAGCCGAGCATTTGTCTTCTCTTTCGTTATATGACTACTTCATTTAATTGAATGAAAGAAAATACGACTCTAATTAATCCAAAATTTTTAACTATCGTGTTTTGTTTGTTATACAGTAGAACCGCTTTTTGTGGCTGTCAAAAACTATTTTGATTTAATCATAAACGAATAATATAATAGTGAACAGTTTCGAAAAGGAGTCATCCACAAAATGCGTCTGACAAGAGGAAGAAGTCAAATACATGTCAGCATTCAGATGCTTGTTATAAGTTTTCGCAAAACTTTGATCTGAAGTAAATTTTAACAGATTCTTTAAAATATGCTAAGAAAAATGTTCTATAATGTCTCATTTATCAAAGAATGAAGTATATCAATCTTAAAAAATGAATGTCTTATTTTTCTGTATCATATGTACTCACTACGAAGAATTCACTAGTTGGATTCCATCAGATACTTTCAAGATAGTTGTCAGATCGAACAGAATGCGGAACAAAATTGAGCGAGACTTTATTAAAATTCTTAAGATTTAATAGAACCCGACAGAGGTACCTATTTCATTTCTTTGTCTCACGTGCTGTTTTAATTTACTGTGGTTCAAAACAAAACGAACACTGCAATTGCACAAGTAAGCTCTTTCTCAACAAGAAAATTTTAACACCAGACATTCAAAGAACGGTAGAAGTTCAAATAAGCAATTTGTTTATCGTAGGTTCTTTATAAATGTCTTTAAAGTCGATCAAACTCGCTAGTTTTTCCTAACATAAATCATTCAACAGGATTTTAATTGATTTTAATGAACTTGTTCAAGTAAATGATGTTTTCTTATGAGAGAAGCTCTCCAACCGATAAATTGATTTTCAGTCTAGATTACGTGCACTATGTAGACCTCAATGAGCTCTGATCATCTTGAAAACATTTCGTGACCTTAGCTTATTGTTGTGGAAATACTGTGGTCTTCTTATATTATTTTTTACATGAATGTCGTGATAAAAGAAAAATTGATTTTTGAATTTCGACACGAAACTTTGTACAGAGGCAGACTTTAACGAGAGTAATTTCATGTCTTTCAATATGCTTCTATCCTAAAATAAGAACATAGAAATCTACCGGTTTATATGAGCGATGTAAAAGACACGCTATTACTATAGTTGTATCTTTAGGATAGGAAGAATGACAAAATTTGAAACATTCACAAAAACCTACACTTGTTAAGGCATATCTCTATTTGGTTTCATGTCGAAATTTAAAAATCAGTTATTATGTTACCACAACATTCATTTTAAAAAGTACTATAAAGGTGCAGTATCTCCATAGCAATAAGCTAAAAGCATGAAATCTTTTGAGGATATTCCATAGCTTATTTGGATTTGCATAATGTACATAGTCCTGATTCAAAAGTGATTTATCATTTAGAGAACTTCCCGCTTTAGTCATGAATATTTCATCATTAAAAAATATTTTAAATCAATAATTTAATATCAAACATTCTTCACAATGTAATTCTACTGATTTTATTATATTTAAACAATCTAATTATCTATACCCTGATGTGTTATATAAAAATAACAACAAATCAGTAAAAACAAACAATAATTCCAATCATGGATGCCGTATATATAATACACAAAATAATAATTAAAAAACAACGCAAAACTCCATCTGACTTGTATCGATGCTTTTAATTTTAGATCAATAAAAAGAATTAGAATTAAATTGATTGAATTGAAGCAATCGATGCAGAGGGATTTTTAGTTGTCGATATTGATTTTGATTTATTAACCATTTGTTTTGGTATAGATACATTATCATCATCAATCGGTGTTTCAAATGTTCGTTTTAAAAATGCATAAACAGGATAAGTAAATGCATTTGTTGGAATAGCACGAAGTGTACACGGTAAAAACCCTCGAGTAAATACTTGCCATCCTTCATTACGTAATGATTTAACTGTACAATCCCATACATTTTTATAAACATGATCTCTTGATGCTTGATATCGACTTTTAATAACATCCAACGGATAAGATACAGTCCAAGCAGCCATACCAGTAAAAGCACCTCCTACTAAACTCATTTGCATAGACATGTCAGCTTCTTTACCAGTTGGTGAAAAATGTGAAACAAAAAATTGCCATGCTGGAAAATAAGCAGCAAATGATGGTATATCACGTGCAAGTGTCATTGATAAACCACGCATAACACCATATCGAAAACCTTGTCTAGCATAAGATTTTTTTAAACAATCAATAGGACCTTTATATAAATGTGTTGATAATGCAAATAATTTTCGTTGTTGTCCAATACCTTGCATTTGTAAACGTGTTTTAACAAGTTCAATAGGTGAACAAACAAATGCTTGTACACTACCAGCAATAGCACCTGTTATTGATAATGCTAAATATGTATCAGGATTGTCAAATAAACCTTTTGAAAGATTTTGAACAGAAAACACAATACCATTTATAATTGCAACACCAAACATTGGTGATGACATGCCTTTATAAAAACCTAATATTGATTCTTGTTTTGCTATTTTAATAAAACAATCTAATGAACCAGAATATAATCGATGATTTGATGATTGTATTTGAAGACGAACTTTAACTGTATCAAATGGATAACCAGCAATTGTACCAGTTACTCCAGCTATAAAACCAAAACCAAAATCTAATGCCATTGATAAATATGATTCTGAAATGAAAGAAGAAGAAAAAAAGAATACGAAACACAACGATTAATACATATGTATAGCATAAAATTGACCTGATGCAATGTCAAAACAAAAATCGACCAATAATTTTCGTTATATAAATTGATATGATGCAAGGCAAAACAAAAACGCTAGTCATCAATGAGGACATACAGTTTTTTGTGTTCGCTTTTATTTTCCCTCTTTCCATGTGCCTATTGAGACAATATGGGGAGTAAAGAAGTGGATTTATTATTGCTAGATATTTTTCCTTTCTTTTTTTCTTTTTGTAACATCATGCTTTCTATTCAAGCGACTTTTTGTCCTTGTTATTTGGTTGCTCTTTAGACTCTAACAAAAAAGCAAAATAACAAAATTGACACAAAAAGAAAAAAGTACAATATCGGCACTTTTTTTTTCAATGTTGTTCGATGAGAAGGTTCGCAATCGATCAAATTCTATTTATTTCAATCCATGTAGGTGGGTAAAAAAAATAACCTTTTCGATTTCTATGACATCAAAATGAAAAATATTTTTTTACAGATATTGAAATTGTAATAATGCATATTCAAATATATGATGACAATGCAAAACGATATTATTATGATTATAGACTAGTAAACATGTTTTTTTTTTATAATAAAAATAAGATTTTTCTATAATAATTTCGCTTGTATTCAACAGTGAAAAGTTTTTCATGTGCTTATACTCGAAAGTTAATGAATAGTAACTTTTTGATACAAATGAACACGAAAAAAAAAGACATTCAACTTAAACAGAATTCTGAATAATACATTTTAGTATGCTCTGTACTTATGTTACATAGCTAAAGTTTCTTCATACTTGATTAAATATTAAATGAAATACATGTTATGCAATTCGATTTCTCCTAAATTCAATGATAAAATTCATTTTACTTTAGAGACGTGCGAGGTCACCTTCACTCACAAGGCAAGGTTAAAAAAACTTTTCTCAGTCAGGGTATTGGGTACGAAAAAAAGCTTTTCTTACAGGTTTTTATTTTACTCAATAATAAAGTTGAAATAATTTTAGCGTATATAACAATAAAACAATTAGATAAGGAATAAGTCTGCTTGCTGGATTTCACTAAGTAAAATCATACTTAAAAAATCTATTTCCGAACTGGTTTCAACGAAAATATTTAAAGAAAAAAGTATTATTCTACATTTTCTTTTAAAAAAACATACTTCTGAAAAGTAAGAATGCAATGGTAATAGTGAGCGATCAATACACTGTACATTGGTCGAAACATTCAAGTTTAGAATAATGGTGAAGCCGGTATATTTGTGCATAATTCAGCTCTCCGAGCATAAATCCGTTTGATGAATGCAAGAAAACCGATTTGACCGTAGTTTTCTTATATATTTATGTTTGATTTTAATGTTGATAATTAAGAACGCATTCCTATGCTAATGGACGATGGCATGGTACATGATTATCGTAACATTCTTAATACAACATGAATATCACAGAGACAAATTTCTGTCTCTCTCATTCATTTGTTAGAAAAAAAATTCTTTCTGTTTTTTGTATAATGTTAATGCTGTTAGTTTTATCACAGAAAGATTTAAAATCAAGGTGATGTCATTCAACATAAGAAAATATATAACTAAATGTTTGTCACACAATATAGGCATCGATTGAAAATTAAAAAAAAACAAATGAAAGAATTAAATCTACATCAATTATACACCTCGATAGAGTGGCAAATGTTCTATAAACTGAACTATTTATATTTTGTTGTCTGAAACTTTATTATAAAATAAAACAATATCTTTTTCTTTACACATGTCACGAAAAAATGGCATTTTCTTGTTATTCATCTCTTATAAAACTCAATGAAAACACGCATAACATAACTGAAGTTTTATGTTCATGTAGAGTAATTACAAAGAAATAATATATAAAAGTATAAATCAAATCAATTGTTAAGAACAAATATAATTAGTCAACTACACCTGAAATTTTATCCTCTACTAAAAAATTGTAAATCACTCTCATATGTTTAATAGCAGTGATTACACATTTTCCTTTCATTCGAGCATTAGGTAACTGAATCATAACACATAACATCTTGACGATTAATGAATAGCTTCATTTTAATGCGATGAAAAACGCTTCATGAGCGTCTAACATAAATATGCGATTAAACAAGATATTATTATCGCAAAACTTTGTATGCTGGGCTATTCTATTTCTTCTTAATTTAAACAATTGGTTTATTTATATAAGTGTTTACCTATAGTGACCTCTAACTAGTTAGCTTATAATAGTCCTCTCTCGTATGTATGTTATTGTTGAAAGGAAAAGAGGTCAGCGAGTATAAGAATCATTTAATATTTCATGCTCGATTGTATTTGTTGATCGATTAAATATTCACATATTGCATGATACTTGATTTTTTCGCTTTATTACATATCCTGCGATCGTCATTTCCTTTTTACAATCGTTCACTTTCTCTTTTTATTCATTACATTCACAGATATCAATTTGCAGAAATACTCTGCATAGAATAGAAATATTTATTTAGAAATATTCATACTAATTATGCTTCATCATTAACGCAAGAGTAACAACTTAATGGATACATAGTTACAAAGGAAAGAAAACATACAACCGTATTCGAAAAAGCTGATTCGATAATTCTTATTGAATAAATCAAGCCGCCTATTCAATGTTATGAACCCTTGACGGCAAAGTCGAAAAATAATACAGCAGGTCTTTTCAATATGTGTGGTAATCTGACATAGATGCCACTAGTAATAATCCTACATCTTTACATCAAGTCTAAGCATGAGAATTATTATTTTCAAAATGTATCGTGTTAAAAATCAAATATTACTTTTTTTTTCTTTTATAAAAGATAAATCATCGTTAAATAGTTATTTGTCGACAGATCATAGATTAGAAAGTCTAATCAATTTGAATACAAAAAAAACAAAGAGTAAGTACATCATACCTTTTTTCTTTGTTTTGAACAATAAATAATCGTTGTCAAATGAAATACTTAAAATAAAAGTGATGTTCTATTTTTTGGTTACTTGAACATTCACATATACATTATAATCTCATCACCGTTCACTTTCCACTTATCATATACGCGAATAAAAAACAAAATGAGAAGCAAATGTTATATATTGGACCGAGATAATGAACACTACGCATGAATGATCATCGGTATCAAAAGATATTGAATATAAAGGCTATCTCATGAGTTTTGATCCTTCTCAAGTAATATTCTTTTCAGCAGAACAGATTAATAATATACGACATATATACTAAACATCTAGATCTACTTTATGCTTTGTATTTCTTATATTCATAGAGACACAAATTATACAACATTCATGAGAACATTTTGAACTATTTTTACAAATAACATGCATAGAAAAATGTAGTTAGTCAATCAATCTGTCATAGCAGGTACCTTTTGATTTTCTGCGTTCTATCATTTGTCATTTATTTTAAAAATATTAACTAGGTACCGATTTTTTTATGATAATAAGAATAAAAAAAATCAAACAATAGTTATGATGAACACTATTGAATATTTGTTTAACTAGTGTATTGATCCTAAAAGTTAGTGATGCAAAATTTACTGATATTTGTTTCATCAAGATAGTTCAAGGTATAATTGAGAAAAATTCAGAGTAGAAAGATTTGAAAATGAATTAGACATTGAGAAATTAAGTAGTGCACGAATGGAAAATGTTTATCGCAGCAAATAATGGAAAAATTACAGAGTTGATTGAAGCAAGTGATAGATCAAGATGAAGAGCAGATGCATAAGCATTGATGCATGTTTTTTCTCCTTGTTGTTATATTTAAAGAGTTTCAATTTACCAATCTCGTTCAAATCATTGATTTTTATTTAAAATTCTCAATTAAAAAGCGAAAGAATCTTCACATATAATTCAAAAAGAATCCTATGAATTTTATTTTACTTGTATCATTGTGACTATAATAGATAGAAATCATAGAGTAGATTTAGAGATCTAGTTTATATACTACAAATATCAGTCTATTCTATGGAAAAGAAACAAAACTTATTAGGCAACCTTTATTCTGCTATTGAAAAATCGAAATTATTGTCGATTATTACTGTTTTGTCATTTCATAAAAATATTCAATGCGTTGCGATCTTTTTCTTTCTCTGTTCTACTTTCAAACTCATAAATTAAACGTTTTGCTACATTATATTTCAATTTATTTCAAAAGTAATTGTCAATAGAGTATGATTAAAAAGCTTTTAAGTTCAATATTATGAAAAAGATATATATGTGCACTGTACCACGCATACACCCCCGCTTTCGGAAATAGAAATTATTAATTTTTCTCTAGCGAACAAACGACGACGATGAAGAGGAAAGAAATGATTATATTTTTTGCATTCGAACGATAAATATTGGTCGATTGAAGAACCTTGAGATAAGCATTTAAATGTCATATTCAAACTTCGATTTTACAATTAAGGTAGGGTTAATCGTAAGATATAACTTTTATTATTTCCAATTAATGATAGTTTTTTCGTCCAACAAAACGTCCTATTTTTACTAATAATGGTCTTTTGGATAGTCGTACTAAACGTATAATAGCTCAAGATCGTCTTACTGTAGCTGAACAACGAATTGTTGATGTTGAAAGACGAAAATCAGCTAGTAATCTTCAGTTATTAGCATTTGAACAAAAACAAGTAGAAAAAAGATTATTATCACTTCACAATCCTAATCAATCCGTACAATTAAATCAACGTTCAATCAGTGAAGGTAATCTTAATAATATTCATCAAACTGCTTCTTGGAATGATACATTTGATATAAATCAATCAAAATTATATACAAATAAGAATTCAAATACTTCATTTCTATCAAAAACTGATAATATTCCACGAAGTTTTTCAACATATTCTGATGGACTTATGCCAGAAAATCAAGTTTTAACGAGTGATACAGAAAGTAATGAAGAAGAAGAAGAAGAAGAAGAAGAAGAAAAAGAAAAAGAAAAAGAAAAAGAAGTTAACTTAAAACTAAATAAAAAGGAAACAATTCAACCACCTGTAATCACTATTATTCCACCGGAGGAAGACGCCTTATTTTTTGTTCAATAAAATTTTTATATTTACTTTCAAGTCAATCACAAAAATTTTTCTTTATTTTTTCAATCTATTAAACATAAATAAACATGAATTACTAATACTATCACACATTTTTCTTTGGTTTATATTTAAGAACTATTGATTTTTATTATAGAGAAAAAAATGAACTATTGGAATTTATATTAAACTGCTGATTTGATCTATTGGTAACATGTATATAACATAGTATGATTGGGCGAAAACGAAGTCATAGGCGCGATGAATAAGGCTTCATTCTTACAAAGGAAGTTTCATAACTGATTAATCGTTTTTAAATCGGAATTATGTGCACCATCGAAACTCTAATAAATTATGATTACCTGGTGAACATTTTGGGTCCGTAGCCTACTACTACGAAGATACTGCGTTTTTACAACACTTTTTCAGTCAACGCCATGACTTAGTAAACTAGAAAAACTCGTTGTCGATTATTAATTTGAAACTTGGAAATACGATACAAAAGATATGCTTTTATCATAGCCATATCTTACGATAGGAACATCGAAAAGCTCTGAAACTTTCACAATAAACTATTTTCATTTAGATCTTTCTCTATCCAAAGTTTCAAGTCAAAATCCAAAAATCAGTTTTCCTGGTGTTCTTGATACCGATCACGATATTGGATTAAAAAATACCGAAAAAATACAGCATCTCTACTAGAAGATGAAGGAATTGAATGCTAATAGCATCCAAAGAAAAACAGAAAATATTACCCCAAAAAAAAAATAAAAGTAATGAGATTGACTATTTTGAGATATTAAATGATATCTTTATCTTTCTAAAATGATGTGAGTGTAACAGTAAAAGAGAAATCCACGCCTATATCCGAAAAAACTTAATGATAATGTTATTAGTACGGAAATCCCTTATAACATCATCTTCCCAACAATAAGTTAAATACTCGAACTCTTTTTCAAGTGTTCATTGCTTATTAGAACCTGTGTGGTGCAAATAGTCCCCACTGATAAGCGACCAACCAGTTGTGGGACTTTCTTCACTAGTCTATAAGTTTTATCCTCACTTTCACTCTTATTCTTTCGACTTAACAATAAAGTAACAGTGGGATCTACGAGAGTTGCTCAAAAACTGCCGAGACTGATTTTACTGAAAACTCCAATCGATTGAGTATTTATGTTCAGATAGAGCAATACTTTTTTTTGAATTACTCCATTTACACTCATAGAATATTTTAAAATTTTAGCATCCTTCAATGATAGAGTTTCTAGCACTGAAAGACCAATCTCTATCTAATGTTCATGAACATATGATAGCAGTTTATGGTAACTGACTTTCTATCACACATTACAATTTCTGAATGAAATTATAGATTTAAAGATGAACGATTTAGTATTGACGATGATCCTTAATACAGAAGATACAAGTATTAAAACAATTGGAAGTTTAGTCATTGAAAAGCTTCAAATTGTAATTCAGCAAATAGCAGACACTTAGCATTGCACATCATCAACTACATATGACTAAAATCTATTCAAAATCAATGTTACATTCGATAGCACCTGAAAACTATGCATCGTTCATACATAAATGCTTTCTTGTCCATCTTTAAAACGATAATTTTGTTCAAAAACCATAGTGAGCAATAGAACATTATTACTAAATAACTACTACCATACGCTCATAACTATTTAAAGGGAAATTGATCATACAAAATATAAAATTTTGCTCAAGGTTTTGCTTTTCTATCAATGTATATAGACTGATCTAAAACATATTGCTATATTCCAACATAAATGCTTAATCGATCCAAGCTGATGACGTCTATAGGTCGAAGACTTTGTGAACCACACATAGTCAACAATATTCATATAGTGATGCTTCTGGTTGTTTTCAAGTAAAATCCATCTCGAAACTTTTTGAACCACCCTCCTATTGAATAAATTCTAGGCACTGTTATTTCCACCATAAAAACATTGACAAAAAAAGTTCACTTAAATATCAAAAGAGTTATTAAAAAAATTAAATATTTCAATACTTGAATTATCTTAAATGTTATTATTATTATTTTTGAATTACAAAATAGTTTATGAAGATTACCTCAAGTACATATTTCACATATATTATGAATATGATTATTAAAATTAAATTCATTAGAATAATAAAATCTTTTTTTTGTTTTTTTTATGTTAAAATTTATTGTGACTGAGAATTTAATTACAAATAGCTTGTTTAACAACCTAGAATAATATTAAAAGTATCATAAAGAAAAAAATTCTTTTTATCGAGATTAAATAATGAGAAATTAGTAAAGAAAGAAGTAAAACACCGGTTAGTCATCAGATCAAAAACAAGAATTCAAAGAAGAATTTTCAGTTTTAATTTTCATCATTTGCTGAAATTCCACCAGCAGTGAGATTTGATCTTACATGTGTTCTAACTGTATTTATTGTAGGGGCACTAGAATATGTTGAAACAGCATCATCATCTTCACCATGTGGTGGAAAAGGAAGTTCACGAGATGGTAATAATGGATCGCTCGATGAAGGATCATCTATTCCACCAATTTCTGTATAACCTGAACGTGAGTGCTGACGACGAGTCGTGATGATTATCGTAATAACAATAATCAAAGCTAAAATACTAGCTGATCCTCCAATGACCACAGCAATAATTCTACCAGTTGTCCACCATTTTCTATTTGGTAAAACTCCACCACAATCCATTTCATCAGGATTAAGTTTAATCAATTGTTTTCCTGCATAATTTGATGGTGTTGCACATGTTAATAATGAAGCATCACCAACAAAATAAGAAGATGTATTTAAAAAACGAATAAACCATAATGATTGACAACAATCAAATGAATTATTAGCTAAATAAATTTTAATATTTGTATATTTCATTTGAAGCCATGTATGTAATGGTGATGATTCATCAATAATTGTTATTAAATTTTGTGTAAAAAAGAAATGTTTAATATTTTTTGGTATTGATAATTCTTGTGGAAGTGAAGTAAATTGATTTCCATCAAGTTTAATAGATGATAGTAAAGATAATGTTGATAAAAATTCACATGATTTTAATTGATTATACTTTAATGATAATGATTGAAGTCGAATCAATGGAATAAATGCATTTTGATGAATAACTGTAAGACTTGCACTATCCATATGTAATTTTTTTACTTTAGAATTTTTTAAATTAAGAAAATTATTTTCATCAATTGAATGAATTTTATTATTACTAAGTGATATAGTTTCTAAAAATGAATTCAAATAAGATGAAGGAAATTCAGCTGATAGTAATGATGTATCTTGTAATGAAATTGATCGAATTTTTGAATCATTAAATGGTGGTATTGTTCCGAGTGGATTTTGATTAAGACTTAAATCTATTAGACTTGTTAAATTATCAATTTTCATTAGATCATCAACTATAATTGAAGAAAAATATCTTTTTTATTAAAAATTAATTATTATTTAAGATTTACTTGTATTGAAGCTCAATTTATTATTAACAAGTGTTAAAGTACGAACATTTGAAGGAAATTCTACAGTATTTAAAGTTGTCCAACCTTTTGAATCACAATTTACATTGGCAGAATCTTTTGTACATTTACATTGTTTATTAGCACAAACATCAACACTTATAATTGTTTCAACAAGTAGACTAATCTAGAAACAAAATTCCTAAATGTAAAATCAAGTTAAAGAAAAAACTCACTATAATAATTATATTGATAAAAAGTTTCATATTTGTATAAAAATTGAGATATTCTAGAAATAAAAGAGTGAAATTCAGTATATTGAAAAAAATTGATCATATAAATTAAAAAAAGCATGTAACAAATTTTACAATAGTAAGAATTACATAGACACGAATCATCAATATGAATAAGTTCCGTACTATCAATCACCGGTTAATTATGTTTTATGAAAAGGAAAAAAAGAATGTCAATGTTCGAAATGAAGAAATCTTAATTGGTAGCAAAAAATGGAGGAGGAGGTGGTGGTGGTGGTGGAGGAGGAGGAGGAATGCCATCAGCCATTGGTGGTGGTGGTGGAGGCGGCGGTGGTGGTGGTGGTGGTGCATTTCCGGTAATCGAAGGTACATCAATTGTAGTTGGTACTGTTTCTGTTTGTGTTCGTGTTTCAGTTTCAATCATCGATGATTCTAAAAATTAAATACAAATATTCTTTTAAACAATAAAAAACAAAAAAAAATCAGTCTTTTTGAAATTATCTCTTACCTAATATACATAAAATATAGATAGAAATAAGAGATTATGGATAGCGACAAATAGCATGAGCAACAAAAGAATAGCTAATGCTTTTGTGTTAATAACATACGTTTATCTTCTTCAGCTGTTTTATCAGCACGAAAAAATATTCTAGCAGAACGTAAACTATAATTAAGTAAATCAAATTCCTAAAAAAAAACAAATATGAAAACTTGTTTCTTTTTTTTCAATTTCTACTAACCAATTGATCATTTTCAATTCGTTTCATTGAAGCATTTAAAGCTTTTTTAACATTTTCTTCACTACTATTTCTTGATTTATTAACCACATCAGTCTTGAGAAATAAAATTAAATAAAAAAATCGTCATACAAATAATCATATCTTCTTACTTTTTCTGTATTAAATGATTCTCTAACAGCATCAAACCAATGTAAAGAATCAAAATCACGATATTGATCAAGTAATTTTAATATATAAGCAACACCTAAATAAATTTGTTTATATTTTTATGTGAAACAAGATCTAAATGGAGGGATACAAATTTGAACCTTCTCACAGTTCATGACAGACTTTGCTAATATACGATCAAAGACCTTATATCAATAAGATTTTATTCTAATATATGAATTAGACTGCCTCCCTTTTCTTTTACCGATTTTGGCTTTTGAAGGTAGTATATATAAGTGATCAAATCGGAATTTAAATCACAGCTAGAGCACCAAAATTAAGGAGAGACATGTTGAAGAAAAAGAATTTTGTATTAGATTTCTATTGGAAACTTTAGGTTTTACATAGAACCACATCTTAGTGCATTACAATCTTCATATAAGTTTGCTCAATCGAGCTGATACTTAGAAGTATTCTCCAAAGAGTAAATCAACCATGTCGATTTTTGCATTTTCCACCCAGATTTACAGGATCTTGAAAGACAAGACTTCAGTGATGGCTCCAAACCGTTACATTTTTCTCTCATAAAATTTTTGACAAAAGCTTAAAATTACCTCTGAGATATAGTTTTCAGTATCTCTAAAAATTCTCAGCCCTATCAGATAAAGTTTGATGAGGATCTTAATGTACCAGAACACAGTTCTTTAAAAAACCAGGATTTCCCAGCATAAATTCACTTCAAAATATTTTCCCTACAACATGTTTCGCTTTATTTTTGGTGTTCTATCTGTAGCAAAAACAGTCCAATTTGCTTGTCAGTACCATCTTCGAGTACCAAAAACGGTAACAAGAAAAAAAGAGGAAAAGTATCCTTAGATAAAACGATAGTGAAGAAATATGTCTCAAAACAAACAAAATAAAATAATCTCTCTATGATTATCAAGAGCAGCTACATTATGTTTCACATTTTAATCATTCAAGGAATGCGCCAATAAGTTTTAAATAAAAACAAAACACATTACTTACCCATTACAAATCCATCATCAGTAAATGATGCATTAACTTTTGATTTTTTTGTTAAATTATCTTTTAATACTTTAATATGTTCAACAAAACTTAAAGTCTATAAATAATCGAATATATATATATATATATATATATATAATGCTTGTTTGTTAAAAGAATTTCAATTAACATACCAATGGTGGTACAATAACATAAAAATTTTTTAAATGTAAATTTTTCTTTCCACGAAATTCATTTGAAAAAACATCAACTAAAATTTTAAAATATTCAGTCCCTTCAGTAAAATTTTTGACTAAATTTGATATAACATCATCTAAATGTCTAAAAAAAAAAATTATTAATATTATTATTTGTTAAGAAAACAAAACAATAGTTTACTTTGAGGCACTTATTGTTTCCGCAGGTAAATTAGCTTTTCGTGTATATTCTTCAAATGAAATTATATTTTCAAAATCAGGTACAAATCTTATAGAACTCGAACATGTATTAAGACCACCTGAACGAATCATTCGAACATAACCCATTGCATTTCCTTTGATGAAAGAAAAAACAAATCAAATTCATTGTCATATATATTGTTTTTTTCTCATTTCTCACCAATCTGACCAATTAACTGTCGAAATTGATCAAGATAAGTTTCATTTGTATCAGGTGTAATACCTAATTTTCGAATACTAATAAAAAATTTTTTTGCTCGTTCGAATGGATACTAAAGAAAAAAAAACGATTGAAATAAAACTTAAACAAAACTATGAAAATTTACTCGTTGATTAAGTCGATCTTTATTTTCTTTAAAATATTTAATATCTTTCATTAAACGACTTTTTATATGTTCATCAAATAAAAATTGTGAAAACATATAAAATTTTTGTCGAAGATATTGATATGTAAAATTAACCTTTTCAATAAAAAAAAGACGCAAATATTATTAATTAAAACAAAATTAAAAAGAAAAAACTAATCTAAATAAGTTTATATCTTACTGATGTATTCATGATACCAATACCATGTGTACGAATTGAATTAGCTACATGTCGAATATTTGTTGTACGTAAAAATTTATTATTACTTGATCGTTCAATAAACATTTGAGTATTTATATTATAATAATGTTGAGAAACAAATGCATTTAAATTACGAAGAATATCAAGAACATCACAACCCTAAAGATAAATTAAATAAAATGAGTTTATTTGAAAATATTTAACATTATCAATTAAATTATGGATAAATCCTAGAATATATAACTGCTAATCTACAAAAAGTTTGTTTTCTGGTATTTATCAAAATCATCCATATGAATGAAATTCGATCGTTTTTATTAAAGAAGAAGAAAGACGCACAGAACATTATACTTCAATGGTTCTCTGATGTTTCGAAGTAGAAAAACAAACGAACAACAGTATTATAAAGTCAAATAAGCACATTGTATAATTGATTTAATAATTATTTCATTATACTATCGGATCTCCTCAACGGTTTGTCTTTTATTGTAGCAAAAACATTATGATTGTACAATAAGAATATTAATTATGTTCGATAAACTAATATTTCAAAATATTTTTCCTTGCCTTTCATTCTTTCTTTTCTCAATAATATAGACATTTGATTAGAATTTAGCTTCTTGATTTTTTAATATTGTGAACGAGAAAATATTCACAAGTCTCCACTTCAGTTTTCGATATTTTTACTTTCGACCAAAGTTAGAACAATCGTTTTCTTTATCAGCTTTAGTCATACTAATTAAATGGGAAGTAGTCAGAAAACAGCTTTGCCTGAAATGATGGACAGTCCGAGCATTATCTTCTTCTTTTTATTAATTTTACCGAGATATAAATGTTTCAAAACAGTATTTTTATCAATTTCTAAAAAGTATCGTAAAATCTCTATCTTTTGAAACACTCATATCAAGATCGAATTTGAATAAAAAAAAAAGAAGAATTCTCTGGAGGTTGTATTGGTCTGATGTTTTTTCTATCTATGGGCAATATATGAGCTGAAAAGCTTGAAATCACTGGAGAAACTCAAAGATATCCATCGTGATTGAAAACATTCTGCTGTCAAGCTGTGACAATAGAAAAGAAAAGTTCGTGCCACAATGCTATTCAAAAACTTGTTTCAATTTCCATTTCTGTAACCATATGGATTAAAACTATTGTCACTAATCCATGAGATTCATCAAGTATCAAAATGCTACATTTGTAAACACTGAAATTTCGTGCAAACCCGTGCAGTTTTTCAATATCCTTCAAAAATAAGCTGCTGCGATAAACATTTCTGTGGCTAAAGGCTTATTTTTGATTACTTCTTCCCGTGATGAGAGAATGAGTATGAATGGTCAGCCTTGTATATCCACATTCAACCCATTAAATTTGTTGAGACAAGCCATTAGACAGCTACGGATGTTCCTTCGTCAGATCATCTTCAAACGAATCGTCTCAATAGGGTTACAGTATTTTGTTAGCAAACTCACTACACAATGGTTATAACACAAGAAGAAAGGGTCATGAACATGAATCCTTTTAAGTTCTTTCTTTTTGTCATAGTCTAAGTAATAAAGTGAAATTCATTTGGTAAGATTTTCTCATTAATTTATACATTTCATAGTTGACAAACTTGTTTAAACAATTTTTTTTTCTCTAAAAAGTTATTAAATTACCTGTTCAAGTGTTTTACTTGGTAAATGTGGTTCATGTAAATCTAAACCATATTTTTGTGATGCTAAATTACGCATTTCTGAATAAGTATTCCAATCTGTTGATGAAGCTGTTGTATAATCATAAAAAATTTTATCCAAATAACTTTCAACAGCTCCTATTATAAAATTTATTTCATTAAAAAATAAAAACAATACTAAAACAAAAAGAAAAGAATTATTCTAACCTTTAATACTAACAAATTCATCAAAACATCGTATTGGTTTAACATCAAGAAATGGTGCAACATCTTTAAAATTTGATCGAAATACACTACGATCACCAACTTCAAGATGTGCATGACATAAACATCGAAGATCATCTTCAATTATTTTAAATAATTCTTGAAGAAAAAACTAAAATATAAATTTTTTTTTTTAATTAGATTTTTTTAATAAATTTA